TCGTCATCAACTGGACAAATTGAATGATTCACTTAAAGAGAAGAGGCCCGAATTAATCAACAGGACGGGTGTAGTGTTCTACCAGGATAATGCGAGACCTCACACAAGTTTGGTCACTCGCCAAAAACTTTTACAGCTTGAATGTGACGTACTGCAACATCCACCATATTCTCCAGATCTGGCGCCTTTCGACTACTATTTTTTCCGGTCTCTGCAAAATTTTTTGGATGGCAAAACCTTTACCTCAAATGAAGATGTCAAAAACCACCTGAACCAGTTTTTTGCCAGCAAGGACCAAAACTTTTATGAGAGGGGAATTATGTTACTGCCAGAAAGATGGCAAAAGGTGTTGGATCAAAATGGCCAATATATAATTTAATAAAATATTTATTCATTATACGAAAACTGTCTTTCATGTTTCCCAAAAAAACGAAATGACTTTCCGAACAACCCAATATTTAGAGAATATCTGTGATATATCGTGTACAGTAAATCCGCCAGCTATCCGTTCAGAAGATATCTCTCGGATGTATTTTACAGAATATCCTTAGTATATATACGCTAACGTATATCCTGATATAAATGTACAGAGAATTATAAAATCAAACGCAAATAATACGTTCTCTTAATTAGCATACATCCAGCATTTGTTCCAAAACGGTTTCAAGGCACCGCGCGGTTATTGACCAATCTTTTAGCAATGTTATATCTTTAAAGCAGGTGTAGATAAACGGCAAAGTAACGGGAAAGAGGCGACACGCCGATAAAAACGCAAACCTGATGGTCTTGTAATCTGGGTCAGCTGTAAGTTCGAGCGCATAAAGTCTCATTATTGCCCATATTGCTCCTGACGTTTCCTTTGGAAAATAAGAGAGAAAATGGTATCGGCTAATCGGATAACTTTTTTCGCCACAACCAAAATAAATCACTGTTTTGTGTTCGCATCGAGGACTATTAATGGGGAGACCGATTGGCTAGGCTCTATAGAGAGAATAATTATTTACTCTAGGAAAAATCGCGTAAACACCGGGGACGTGCTGATTCGTAATGAAAAAATAAATAAACATTTACATGGTAGTGGTAGAAGGTTGGCATTAGAAAATATTCCCGCCGGCCTTTGGACATTCTAAAACTAACTGGCAATTAGCGAATGATGTTTAAAAAAGAACTTAACATATGACTTGAGATAATTGATAATTGATTGATTGAATGAAAAGAAAACTTCAGATAAACATATGTCCTAAACGTCTTAGCTTTTGAGATACAGTGTTGTAAAGTTAAAAAAAAAATTGTTTAATATCTGTAATACCACTTTAGATCTTCTTACATCTTACAATCTTCAATCGTTACCAGAAAGGCTAAATGGCCATGGAAGTACCATATTGAATTAGGAACAGAATGTGGTTCATGCATAACTGCGCGCCTGCACACTTTGTGTTGCGGTAAGAGAATATTTAAATCATACATTTAATAACCAATGGGTAGGTCACCTCCTAGGTTCACAGATTCAAGTAGTTTAGACTTTTTCGTATGGGGGCATTTTATCGCACCCCAGTTAACACTGTATCAGAGCTGACGTTTCGTAAAAGCGCTTCCTTCGATTTAATAAAAAACACTGGGGGTATACTTCGAAAAGTGCGTGGCAATATGAGGAAAAGAGCCGAAGCGTGTATCCTTCAGGGTGGAGGACGCTTTCAACAACTAGTTTCCATGTTCTAATTTTTTTCAAAAAGGTTGTTATTAATTTATTTTAACAGAAAATTTTGTTAAAAAATATTACTAGTAGGTAGCGTTTTTTCTTAATAAGAATCGTGTACTATTGCTCTTGTTGTTAGGAGGCTGCGTTATTTCATTAAAACTGTAAAAGTAAAAAGAACGGTCATCTATTTTTTTTTACTGGGGGACACTAGTTGCTAACTAAAAACTAGATATTTTGTTTTAGATAGATATTGTATTTTTCACAAAAAAAGTTTTCATTTTAACCTTTGCAGTAGTGACCTAATAAACCAAAATAATATTGGTTCCAAGACAGTCTGTGGCACGTCACTAATTTCTTTAAAAAAAATGATGACATTTGCATTGATCTCCTAGTCCGCCGCACAGTTTTTACTAAAAAATAAAGAATAATTTCTCCGCTTGCTGTCATATTAACGATGTGGTTATTTTTTATTAAATTAAATTTATTTAGAAATCATTGTAAATTGTAAGAATAATTTTCATTTTAAGAGAAATCAGTAGTGTACCTCCAATGCCTGCCAAAACAGACCTTTCAAATTCCGTACGCCCGCGACTGGTGTATTTTAAAAAAATCGATTTCCAAATTTCATTAAAATATGTGTGTTGTATTACAGATATTAAAAAAATATATTTTTGAAAATTTTACCACCCTGTATATCAAAAATTAAACAGTACACTATGACGGGGTAAAATTTTAACGTTGAAGTTTGAATTTAAATGCATTTGAAAGGCGCAAATCTGTTTTTCTCTCCTGTTTTAGAAATCATCTTAAAGCTTAATATCTCCAATGGAACTTGCTGTATGTCATGGTCGAAATGGTGTTTTAATGGTACTATGGTGATTTCCGTAAATGGTAAATGTCCGTAATGATTTTTTTATAAGACGTTGTAAACCTTACATTACGATTCAACTGGAGCAATATCTTCCCCGCCGACCAGATAGAATTCTGAGTAGAAAATCAATATTGTGGTTGACAATCCCCGACGCAATTGTAAATATTTACCAGCCCGGGTCAATGTGTCACAAACAGTCGTGCAATGAATATAAAGCTAAAACGAACAACGCGACCCGAAATCACCGCGAGCGGGATAGAAAACTTCGAAATTGCTGCAGTAAATCTGAGCCGAAATGATTACGAAGTAGATATAGATTAAAGTCGGTCCAAAAGTTTGAAAGCTCTACGCTACGTTTTAAGCCAGTGAATGACGATTTTTTGTGTTACACATATACGATCTGCCTGCATATCGATTGTGCCATCACAAAACGAATGGTTTATAACAATATTTGTTAATTTTCTGTAAGCAATTCAAACAAAAATTCGATTTGTTTCTCAATCCCAAAACCAACCAAAGGTCTAATAAAACATTCTCAATAATGTTCAAAAATGAAGAGGACAAAATGAACTATGGTGCTACTAAATTGGAGATCCGACTGGCACTGACATTCGGTTGTGAGTGAAACTTCGTTGTCAAACGCTTATATGCAGAATATGAGATGTAGAAGAATTCAGAACAGGAATCTACCACGGGCTCTACGGAAAAGGCGGATTCAACATAAATTTTGCAAAAAGTATAAAACATTCATTTTAGTTTGTAACACAATAACATTAACAAAAAAAATACTGCGTTTTTCTACTTCAAGTGTGCGCAAAATATCACTTTAAAACTTCAACTTCGTTTACCACCATCGAAAACCATTCGGACGTTTCCAGCACTTTAGTCACAGGTTTGAGGTTTCGACAGATTTGAGCCATAGTCTTTTGACGTTTGTCGGTTTTGACAGTTACTTAGTGAATGAACCCGTGCTGTTTTGCATAAACGTACCCAAAAACTAATAATTTTAATGGACTTTTTCAGTCTAAGCTCGTACCAAAGTAACCTCGTGACTAAAATGGTGTTTATGAGACTTGTTACATAATATAATATTAGGAGTACTTTCAATTGTCTTAATCCGTAAGAAGTACCATCACCCACTGGGAGTTGTATATCACAGAAAAGCAGAGTCTGTATTCACAAGTACTTTTTATATTACATATTTCATTTTGTTAAAAGAACAATAACCTTTATTGCCCTGGATGCGTCACTAACAAGCTGAAAATGGAAACCATGCTGAACAATCTGTGAGTTAATAAATTAAATAACTATAATATTCTCAATTATCCCTTGACATGGCATCAATTCCATGTATCAAATCAAACACTGATATTCGGGTAATCTTGGTAATAATATTCACCTTTGAACATTTAACCAGTTCTACTACGCTGATACTTTCTGCATAGGCGACAACAAAGCATTATTCGTGACTCTGTTATCAGTTTATGTGATCTGTTGTTTGTGGAAAATGACGCGAGAACAACATCTTAGGATGAAATCCATTTTTATAATGTGGAAGCCAGAGTTTGGCATTTTGAAAAGAATTAATTAATTTTTATTGGGTTTACCGCAGAAATTGATAATTTAAAGGACGCTTTGCACACTGGACTTTCAAATGTAACTAGGGTCAATTAAATATTGCAAAAGGCCAGAAAATATATTTTTGTTATTTTATTTTTTCATATAATGTATTGTATTATTTAACTGTATGCATTACATTGAACGTAGTTGATAAAAAAACTAAACTAAAAAAACTATCTATGAGTTGCAGTTCTTGTTGTTAGGTAGGTTTCCTTTAATGTTGAAGAGTCGGATAAATCCATAAAGACACTGAATCTCGAACTATACCAAACAAACATGCGGTATTTTTATGGCAATATTTTCTCAAAATATGGCTAGATTTCGCTAAATGTTCTAGGGAAATGAGTCAAGTGTGTGGAAATCGCTGTTTAGAAAAACAAATATTTGCCGCAGTAGGGTCACCATATTTATTATCTATAGCCAGCAATATGTTCATATAATGTTTGTTCTAATAGTATTTGATTTTTCGGCGGATGCGCCAGTGAACACAGCTTCAAACCGGTGGCCATTCTCTATTTTTAATAAATTAATGCCGAAATTAATTTTGTGATAAAACAAAATTACTGCTAATTCAAAACAACACAATTCTAAAACCGTTTAGTGTAAATAAGTGACAATAAAACAAAGGGAGAAAACAAAATTGAGTGTTTAGTTAACCAATTCATTTCATGAATTTTAGTAAGCCGCCAATATCTCCATCTCGTGTGTTTTTTCACAGTGGGAGGGAGAGGGAACGAAGTGGATTACAATCGAGATCACACGTAAGATGTCCATTTTAATTCGTGATATGGTTAACAGGTAGCAGCACGCGTCTTAAATGCTGCACATTTTTCCTTGTGGTTAAAATGGTGGCCTGTCAAAGTTTCGGTGTGTATTTCGTGGGGCGGGTAGTCGTTTCTTTCGAATACGATCTATTAACGAAGAAAATATATCAATAAAATTATTTAAAACAAACCCGTGAAAGTGTTTCACTCTGTAGAACATTAGTTTTGTGCTTTATTTGAGTAGAAAGTGTATATAAGTTAGTGTAATTAATTTCTACTGTGTACAAGGACTGCACTTGAAGGTAAACAATACGTTTTGTGTCTCTTTCCCACGGACCCGCAGATTAAATTGGTTTGGTACATCAAAAGGGTTGTTAATTTGTCTTGTTTTTCTTTATTTTTTTAAATAACACTTTTAGTTACATTTGCGAAATATCGGTTTCAGTTTTTTTTATTTTTTTTTTAGAGGAAATCGTTTTACCACATTTAAATAATGTTTAATAATATGCGTTAATTAAAATTAAAGTGTTAGATATTTCAAATAAGGATTTGTCGAAAATACTCACCTTTTCAAAAATATGCACTAGAAAAATGTAATGTACTTTGGTATGTATTTTTATTTAATTAATAATTTTAAATCTTGTATTATTTCGTAACGTTTGCTTTAAAGTCATGCTCAATTAACTGAGATAGTAATAGAGAAATCTGGAGGATACCTTTTCGTAGATTATATAAGTAAGTCATTTTGTTTGATACTATAATTTAGACTTGTGTTTGGATGGCAATGTGAAAAACTCTGTTGTTAGTTGTTAACTCTCTATTTTCTCTAATATTACTAGTTAATTTTGGTTAGTTTTGGTTAGATAGTTAATTGGCAATCGTATCTTATATATCTATTTTCTACGAAATTTCGCCAACTTCATTGATTGTAATACTTACATGATATGGCTGCAATAGAACTCTCGGAATCTGTTAGTGTTCTGAAGAAATCTGAATTAATCGATTTCTTCGATATCTTATTATCGAGGTAATTAACATTAAATACTGAAAATTTGTAGAAAAATGTACCTGCCATTTGTATAGCTATGGGTGACAAGCAATAACTTAAAGGAGTCACAATGGCAGCAGATAATGTTTCTTCTGTATAGGGCTAAGCATTTTAATACCAGATTCTTTTACATGGAAAAAATGCTTTAGAAATATACATTCTATATAAGTAGCTTTTGCCACTGCTGACTGTTTATGCGATTCTTGTCTTAGATATCAGTCTCAATGTTCAATTTCGCTACTTACATATACTGATATAAGACGGCATAAAAATCCATTAACATAAAAAGAACAAAGCGCGGGCAAAAACATTGATGCTCAACTTGAAATTCTTTCCTCGAAAGAACCATTAACAAGACTCTACTCGAAAAGGGGCGACCATGTTCCGCCTTTCTTTTTGTAAGTCAGTAATTTTAGTTTAGTTATTACTTTTTGTTAGACTCACGAATCCAACTAAGTAAACTGAGATAATAACCGCAAAACTATGCGTTATTATTTAATTCTGAATTTTTGTCTTCTATAATTCGCAATTCGCATTATACACTAACTTCACATTTTAAAAGTTAGGTAAATATGCGTAACTTAACATTGATTACGTTATCATGTAATAATTTTGTGTATATTTTTGGATTTTTGGATAATTCGGTTAGATTATGTGTTAGCAAGTTTTTAAAACTCTAACTAGAAAGCAAATTTACTGTAATGGTTACTTCTGTTGCAGATTAAATGAAGCAAAATGCGGCCAACAAATCGACATGTGGCAAGAAGCAACAAATAAAGAAAAGCGCCCAGCTACCTAAAAAAAGCAAAAATGTAAAGCCGGCCAAATCGGCACAGGTGGCCGCGAAGAAGAAAAAAATGATCGATGTTAAAACATCCGCAAAAGATACAGTTGCAGAAACAATTTCTTTTGTGATAAAGGGTAAACTTACACCCATCAAACCCACGCCGATTTCTTTAAATAAAATAACCAGGGTGAAAGTCGTTAATAAAAAGGCAAATGTTAATGTTAAAGAAAAAAAGACCAAGCCTAAAGTTCAAAATAAAACTGCCAAACCTACTGTTAAAACGGTTAAGACATGCGCAACTGCAAAAAAAGTGCCCCTAGTAGTTAAGGTTGCCCCTACTAAGAAAACTGGCAAAAATGTGGACAACGTCAACAAAAAACGGAAAAAAAAAGATAATGAGACAACTTGGGATAGTCCGAAGTCGAAATTGAAAAGATTAAGCGTGATCCCTGTTGCAAAGGCCAAAAAAGACTCAGCCGAAGATGAGATTCAAAAACAAAAAACAATTCAGAAGTTACTGAAAGAGGCGAATAAAGCGTTGAAAACGAAATCGGTAAGTGTGAAGAAGAAGCTCAGCGGGAAAAAAAAGAAATCAAATCAAACAACAAAAACACCAGCACAACATGACCATGTTAAAAAATCTATGTCAAAAGTTAAAGTAAAGGAAAAAATACCAAAATCAAAAGCGGATTTGAAAAATGAAGTGCGTGAAGAGGATACTGTACAAAAGTCGGTTAACGTTAAAACAGAGTCGTGTGTAAAAGAAAAACTCCCATGTCAAAGTAGCATTAAAGTGAAAGAAGAAAAAGATGCGGCGGGGTTGAATGCTGTCGATTCAAACATTCATTGCTCAACCTCTAAGAAGGACGAAGTCAAATCCCAACATGCAGTGAAAAAAGAAAGCAATGACCCTGGAAAGGTTAAGCCAGGGCTTAAGCCCAAGGCCAAGGTTGTGATTCTGAAAAGGAAAGGAAACTTGAGTAAAGAGGTATTAAGATTAAAAGAAGAAAGGCGGAAAAGCAAGCTCTATAATTTCTGGAACGCTCCTAAAAAAACCAGGGTTGCCTCGTTAAATGCTCTCGCGAAAGTTCAGTGTCTATACGAAAATGAATCAAAAGCAGTGTTTGACAAAATCGAGGAGTCTGCTATTCTAAGGAAAGCGCCTTCCGTTAAAAAGGAGATCGACGCGAAAGTCCCCGACAGTATCCAGGATTTCAGCGACAGTGACTGTGAAAATGATCAAAAACCCTTTCAAAGGACACTGAGGAGCGTTCCAGGTTTAAGGGCTGTAGGAAAACACTGGATACAGTTGGACACGTCCTCGAGTTCAGATGAAAATAGCGTCGATTATAAAAGCAATAAAGTACCATTTAAGAAAGTGAGAATCAAGAAGGAATCTGGTGCAAAAAAGTCGGATAATGATGAGGGGGTGGAAAAAGTTGCGCCCGCGCCCCAAAAAAGAGTTCGCAAACCCAAACCGGAATTAACAATGGATTTGAAAGATATGGTTGTAAGAAAAAGAATGGCAAGCCTGAACGCTTCCGCGATATTGGCCGCCAGCTATTCGGTAGAGAAGCGCTTTAAAAGTTCGAGGTCCGGCGACTCTTCGTCCTACGACACGGATTCGTCGGATGAATATTTCGCTGCTAGTGACGATGAGTGCGAAAAGAAAAAGAAAGTGGAGGATGAAGCTCCCAAAGAGGAGGATAGAAAGCTTATAGAGGTACACACTACACCAAACAAAAAGGTGGCCGTTATTTTAAACCAGGACACTGACGTCACAATTACTGGAGTGTACGTTAACAGTACGACACGGTCTACGCACCACGAGGGTTACTGTAGCATCGCTGGCATGCAGTATCGGATATCCGCAACCAGTCACACCCAGACTGCAGCGACAGCCGTTGCCACTGAAACTCTGCTGCAGACGACCAGTGCCTCAGATAACGTAAGTAATTCTCTACGCAATACCGTTTGGCTACTTTACTGAATTAATTAATTCACTACTTACACATATGTGTATGTTATAAAAAACTGATTCCTTTCTAGGAAATATTGGAACCTATTTTTTATCTTTTTTTTATGGACCGGGTCTTTATAACTCTCCCGGGTCCGATTTTCAGACAGGACGGTAAGGTTTAAGTCCTTATACTCTCCGTTAATATAATTATGTTAATATAATTATTAGAACCCGTTTATCTTTTCGCAATATTCAGCATTTTATTTTAATTTGTCCATCACTCGGCAAAAGTAGGATAATTCGAGGATAGATGGCCCAGGTTTTGAAATTTGAAAATAAATGAAAAAAATAAAAATAGTTTACAAAAACCATCTCTCCCACAGTGCTGAATTGAGATGGCGCAACAAAAAAAAAGTTTTTTGGCCAAAATTTCACTTTGTTTTGCACATCAGAAAACCACATTCATCGCAAAAGTTAACAAACCCGGAACAGGAATCATGAAACCACTTGGAGCAACGTAAGCATCGAACTCGGTCGTCAGATTTTGTGGTTTGGGAATACTCCTCGCTACAACCAGCGCAAGCCACGTCAGCGTCATCGACATCATCTGAAGAATCTTCGAATATCGGTGCTTCTAAATCGTCGTCTGAAGATGAGGAGCTTTGCGTAGCTTTCTTAGTTTTCATTTGAGTAATTTTTGATTTCTTAATAACTGATTCCATTTTACTAATGTTTTTTCCTTTCTGTGTTGTCTTATCAGTTTTTTTCTTTTTCTCGGAAATTGTTGTCGCCCCTTCGTCGAACAGAATTAGCTTAGATGAATTAGATGATATCCAGTAATTTTCCAGGGGTACGCTTCACATATTTTTTCGCTTTTCTTTTTCTTAGAGTAGTGGCCGGTACCCCAAAATTTCTTGAAGCCTCATTAACTCCCATTCGTTTTTCATTAACGGCTTGAATGGCTTCAGTTAACTGTTGTTCGGCCCAATTAGCCCTGGAGCAACTTCCGGTACGCTTGTAATTGGTCGGCATACCGGAAAAGAAAAGAAATATTATTGAGCCATCTCACCTCAAAATAAGTGAACCATCTATCCCCGCCGTGGGAGGGGAGATGGCGCACCTAACAAGCTGAACGCATTTTAAAATATTCGCAATTTTAAGGTTATATATCAAAACCTAAAACTATTGTTAAAATCAAGGCCAATCAGCACTAAGAAGGCATTCGGAATAATATTTTCGTCCCAACCGAATCACAAAAAAAAATGGCAAAATACGGGTTTAACCGGTAGACACACACATTTCAGCGGCTTGTTTAATATGAACTAAAGTACATCACGGCGTCTCGACTTGTTTGTAGCTCTAGCGGTTGCGCTGTAAAATCATTGAGCCATCTCACCTTTTGCGCCATCTATCCTCGAACTACCCTATATTTTTATTCCTCAATTGTTAAAAATTTCAGTTGCGATAAGTGCCCAATCGCTTAATTAAAGTTTAGGACTAGCATCAGTAATCCTATCCCAATTGGGCAGTGCGTTTGGCATAGTAAAGCTTTACCGAAAGTAATAAAAATACACTAAGTTAATCATAAAAACTGTCGCGGCAACTAAAAATTATCAGGTAATGCTGTATAAATTAACGAAGGCGGCGTAACGAAACCATCGAACCCAATTTTTTGTTTACTTTTAATTTCAAAACTTTTGGCTCCGTTGAAATTGAGCCGAGAGTTTTTAACGGACGATCAGCATAAAAATTAGTCATTAAAAATGCGGAAACTAAAACGAGTCTTGAGATAAATTCCGGCAGTACGAAAGTAGAACACCCTAAATTGTATTGGTTTTTAATTTTTTTTAACTTACTTTTTACTTCTCGTGACCAACTCGTGGTTAGCTGTTTTTAAAGAAAAATTTGAAAAGCAATAATGTTTGATTTACGTGGACAATGTTACGAGAAAACAGTTTTTGAAAGCTAAAGTAAACTCAAAAAATATTCGGATATTATCGTACACGTGACGGCGCGAGAGAAAATCACTTGGCGCGGTAACCAATGGCAACCATTCATGAAATCCGCCTTCATTTCTTGCTCATTGTTCTATATATTGGCAACACAACAAAAGCGATCTTACGAATGACTCACGCTCCCTGCAGTGATAAGTGCGCGGCGAAGGGCTTTACCCAATTTTCATAAGTTTATTGTCATACCCTATGCCCGTAAAACGCTGCTGTTCCTTTCATCGTTTGTTTACAAAACGTTTAGATGCCACTTTTATAACATTAAACTTGAATTAATATCGAAAACTAAAATGTAGTCTTTCTATACTTTTTCTAAATTAAATTACATTAATTTATTTTGAAGTATACGGGGTGGCTAAAAAAACTCCCTATTTTTAAGTTTTGCTTTGGATTCCTTTTACAATTTTTCAACTTTTTTATTAATAATAATACATACCTAAACCTAATAGTTTTCCAATATTTTAATATTTCTAAAAAAATACTAATTTTCAAACAAAAAATTACGCTAGCGCCATTGTTTTGAATTTTTTAGTATGTCATCAAATGTGCAATTTATTTAAACTTTTTCAATATTTACTCTTCTATCTGTCTAAAACTATTGCTATAGCGCTTGCCATGACAAAATGACATTGTCAATTTTTACCTGACAATTGAGTAAATAAATTCATAAAGGTTATTGTGGTGTCGGTAAATTTAAAAAAAAAAACTAAGTATGGATTTAGATAAAGCTGAATTAGTTGATAAGATGTCCGACTGGGCGAATGAGTCGGACAAAATACTTTGTTGGCAGTAAGACTTTACAAGGCGAAGTACCCTAATAGAGGTATACCTCTTCAGTGTTTAATGGAAACGTTTTGATGCTAGTGGTAGTATTGAATATGAAAATCGAAAAGTGGTAAATATCCCAAAGAAAATACAAATATCATCCATTTCTTATAGAACTACACCAACAACGTCTAAACCGTAGTTTTGAACAGAAGGTAAACTTCTGCACCGTTATAAATGAAGTAATAGAGGCCGATCCAATTTTGTTGTCTAAAATAATGTTTTCCGATAAAGCTACTTTTCGCAGAAATGGTGCACTTAATCGCATTAGAGGGAAGTACAAAATCAAAAGTGTTGGTCACTTGGTGTGATTTGGAATAAAACACTTTAAAGTTATTTCTTTCGGGCCTGCAGACGGTACAATCGGGAAAGTAATTTTTTTATCTCTACAATAAAAGCGAAGGTTAGATTTAAATAAATTATAACTATGAGCTAAAGAAGTTTATATACGTTTGTTTTAAATAAACTAAAACTTAAATTAAACATATCTATAGATACGCCGTTTTAAATAGTTATTATAAGTCCCAGCACATCTTATTATAGGAGAGTTAGAAAAGTAATTCGACCTAAATCGCTCAATAGAAGACGTCAGCCTCGTTCGCACTTGATATGGATCAGCGTTAAACCTAGCTAGTAATTTAGACGAAAAGAAAAATCCACAAGGTTATTTACAACTTTGGAAAGAAAAGCAACATCAAAAGAGTTTCTTCGAGCTTCAAACGACTTGTATCTAAAGTTTAAGTTGTTAAGAAGTTTTTTTGTATGCGTTCTATTCTATATTTACTATAAATAGGATTCCAAACTGTGACTAGTGACTAGTACAGACCTAATGAAGCCCAGATTTCTCAAACATTTTTTGACAATTGTTTCGATATGAGCCTCAAAAGAGTCAAGAACAATTCCCAAGTCTTAAGCATTAAGTTAATATCTATAAACTCTTTTTTCCTTGTAAATAGAATATATCGACATTTATCAAGATTAATAATTAGTAGATCTGTCAAGATCGCTCTGAAGCTTAATACATCTGAATATGAACGAATCTCTTTTATTTATTATTATTTTTTTAAATCATCGGCAAAAGAAGTATACATAGAAACCGGAAAACAAAGGCCAACATCGAAAACAAAAATGTTAAAGAGTAAAAGGCCCAGGTGAGATCCCTGGTGGACACCCGAGGTAACATTTAACAGGTTTTTTTACTATTGACAACAAACTGAGTTCTTTCTGTAATATAACTTTGCAAGAGGTCGCCATGCACACCGAAAATTCCGAGTTTTGAGTTAGATGATGTACTTATGTATGGAAAAATTGATGTCATAGTTGAACGGTACCATGTTTTGAAGAACTGAACGTTTTTTGTGAAACCCGTGCTGATTTGGATCTATGTCATTCTTTACCAGAAAAAACAACTGTAAAAAAATTTCAGCCTCAAAAAACTTGGCAAAGTGACGATAATTAGCAGCGTCTGTGGAACGGGCCACTTTCCAGCTTTTTGGAAGCATCCCTTGACCTAGACATTTATTAAAAAGAATGTTAAGAAGTTTCGACAAAAGTGAGAGATTAGGACGCTGTGACTCGTAGCAAATGATGAAATGTAGTACGGAAACTGAAATAGTCACAGAATCAGTTGCCGTGGCACAATATTGTTGCAAGTTATTTTACCGGGCAGTGATTTTGTATTTTTTTTATTATTAAGAAATTACAAAAACTGTTTTATATCGGTTTTTTTGCAAAACATTTTTTATTGCCAGTTATTTTACTTGTGTTAAAGTCTTTCTTTTTTTAGTTTGAAAAATATTGAACAATTTTCAGCTTTTCCACATTTGTCTTGCCTTCTCTTTTTTCCGCAGCAACTCCTTTGAGTTGTGAGTGAACCAAACAGGAAACTCACTCCTGCACGATTTCATTTATAATTCATATATATAGGGTAAACTTGCCCAAATCGTACCAGTTTTGAACAACTTGTTGTAGATTTCTCAAAAACGCATCAAACACTATGAAATTTTGGTTGTTAAAACTTTATTTATAGAAGAAACATTAGACATGTGTTAATACTTAAAGAAACCCTGTTTTACTACTCAAAATAAAATATTTAAAAAATAATGAAAAAAGTACGATTTAAGACCATATGTCTTAAATCGTACCGCACTATTCCTAAATCGTACTTCTGATGCAATGTTGGCAAGTGTAAGAATATGTGGCTTTTCCTACACCTGCACAGTTGTCGTGCACCCATATGTTGCATTGAAATGCAATTTTTGAAAACCGTATGATTCACAATTTTATGTTTATAGAATTCTTAAAAAACGCTTGCAAAAAACGCTAAAATTTTACAAGAAAACTGAAAAAAACTTACTTTTATCAGTAAAATTACATCTCGCACAGGAATCACTGCTTCGGAGCATCACAGCTGGTTAGCTTAGCACTAACTCAAGTAATCACCGACAGATGCCGCTGTATGTTTTATATTATGTTTTTCATTTATTGAAGTGTGGTTTGCTTGCGAGAAAAGTTTCTTAGAGTAGGAATTCCATTTAGATGTTTAGTAACATTATGTTTATTTCAAGAGCAGGATGGTGCGTGTCCTCCCGTACTAGGGGATCGTGACTCTCACTTACAGTGACGTATTGATCGTTGATCGTTCACTGCCATGTTCACGATGTCTCTGTATCTTTCCCGATCGTGTGCTACATGGAGTAACTCATAATGCGTTAAGACCTGTCCATTGTCTCAGTTTTTTTAGCCAGAAAGTCATATCGAGGTCCTAATTACTAAATCTTATGGCGCCCGAGGGCGACAACGATAGGATGAAATTGTCCCGATTCCAGTTTAAATTCGTTATTATATTAATTTAGTAAGAAATGCAACAAAATTATTAAAAGTATAACTCAGATAAGGTAACATCCAAGCAAAAATCATTTCATTTTGTTCGTAGGCCTGTGGTGTTCTGATAGTATACACTAAAAAAGATGTTTGGAGCCATTTTTAAAAATTATGTAACAAGTTTAGTTTCCAAATAAGTAGATATGAGTTTAAATTAGAAAACTATCGCAGGTGCGCTTCTTTTCTTAAGAATATTTTCATGTTTTGCACCCAGCAGTAGGAGAAAGATCTTAATTAATGTAGATCTTGTTTTTTTATGGGTAACCAAATATTGAGGTATTAAGTAGTGATTGTAAATCGCACTTCTTGCTGCACGTGGGACTTCAGTTTTTTCCGAAATTGACTAAAATTCAACCACAATTCGTGGGGGTGTTTCTGAAGGCAGCACCCGGAAATTGGGTGTCTCTGTGACGGGAGATAAAGTTCAATATGTAGGACCTCTCCAATGTTTTTAACAATATCAACAATATAAGTTAACATTTGTATCTTGTTGCTTCATCCACTTCGGTTCTGATCTCTGAAAACCTACATTCAGCTATAACTGATACAAGTTCCTCTTTTAAGTTATTAATCTTTTTGTCGGTTTCCATTTTGGCAGTAAAGTTATCAACTTTACCACCAAAAAATTTCAAGGAATCTTTAAACGAGCCTTGCTCAATTTTTAATTCGCTCGTAGTTGACATGAGTCAACAATTATTGCTTGAAAGTACTTGGAGAAATCAGATTCCCTTCCGACACAATGGTTTACGCGTTGGGTATTAACTTAACTTTAAGAAGTTGATAACATTGAGATCCATTAAATGTGATTTCAGCAATAATTAATTAATCTTTACCCACAGAAATGGATCGGCAGAGGTGGATTCATCGGAAGGGCGCCTCGATCATGTGCCTTAACGCCACTAGATTTCTTTTTGTGGGGATATGTTGAATATCATGTTTTTTGTGAACCCTACAACACCATATAATATAGAAAATGGGATTCAGGAAGCGTGTAGGAGAATAACACCGTTTATGCCAAGAAAAAAGACTAAACATATGTATCAAATTAGAAGGGCATATTTTACAAATTTATTGCCCCATAATAATAATTCAAAATAAGATAAGCAAATTTGAAGTAATAGGTATGTAACGTTATTTACTTTTTCTGTGAATTTAAAATTTGGCCTTTATTTTTACCCAAATTGCTAATAACTATCTCTTGCTTTATCTACGGTTCCAAAGAAGTTCTTTCTTCTGTTCATTTTTTATCTTTGGCTAATTGTTTTGTCATGTAAATATTGGAAAATAAGTCGCACAGTATTAAAGACAGACTTAGTGGTATGTTTTTGTAAGAACTTTTCGAAAAAATAATAATATGTATGGTGTGTCATTAAGAAAATCTAAATTTTGCAATTTAAAATGATCCAAATATATTCGTTTATTTTAAATACCCTCCATCTTCGCATAACGCCAATATCAAAACTGTTATTTTTCTATGTTTTTAGAGCGTCATAGCTACCTTGGATTTTTGGACACAGGGTTATTTTGATTTGAAGTGAATTGTGAAAGGGCTTTTTATGCAGAATGTACTTGCATACTGTTTATGTTAAAACTAAACTTTTGTTTGTTGTTCAGAAGAAACAGTTTTTTTTGTTCGAAATGCAAAATATCGTTTTTTGTGTTACTGTTATAAAATTTGTTTTAACATTCTAGAATAAAATAATATTTATGTGAAAAAATCTGTATTTTCCATGGCCCTACTCATAAAATATAATTAAATTAAGGATATGTGCTTTGCATTTGAAAAACCTCTTATGTGTTACATATTTTTGAGAAACTCATAACAAGCCCAATAAAATTACTAAAAAATCATACAGGCTGTTCAATTTAAAAACAAACACAGCCGGCTACGCCACTGGATCCTACGTAAAAAAACCTTATTCAGCTCTTTAATAAGTTAGGGCATAACCAAACTACAAAGGGTGTCCAACTTTCATTTTACAAAAAAGCAGCCTTTGGTTATGAAAGCCGCAACACGCTTTATTAATAAGGAAGATAGCTCGCAAAACCATAAATAATTCCTTTGAGATAACATCCTCGTTTTCTCTGGAATGTTTTGGTTAGTTATGGAATTAGTAACGAAATACATTTCCCAGCATTTTTTTTTTTAGAAAATTGAAGAAGACGGAGCTATTTGTAGTTGGAATGTCCTCTGCAGGCAAAAACAAAAACTAGTCTGCGTGCTCAAAATTATTTTCGTAACAAAGAAAAAGTTCACCTTCAAACGGGCCCAAGTTTATTAAAATATAATATGCGGTGTGCTGAGATATCATTTATTTAGTAACTTATTGACCTAGATACCAAAAAAGACTTGAAACTGATACGATCGAGAGTTGATAAGTATTATTTTATCGCCCAATATTTTCTGAAATAAATACATTTTCCAAAGGCATAGAAATCAAAAAAGATCCCATCAATGACCAAATCATTGATAAAGAGTTATATAATATACGGGGACATTTTTTCGTGACTTTGGACGAGAAAATCATTGAACCAACTTAAAACCATGACGTCTCTCAAATGTCAAAGATACCACATTCTTTCCTATTGCCGATTTTCCAATTCCATTCGACAATACGTTTACTGTGCTGCTTTTGACGAGGAAGCGGCCTTAGAACCATGACACTTGTCAAATGTCAAATCTGCGACGCTGTATATTTGTATCCCTCCGGACGGACCAAATTGATTCCTAAAATTGTTTTTATACTCCAGTCTGTCAAATACCTAATTACCCATCGATCTAGCGTGCGGGAAGCGTCACTTTACCACGTCAGTTTCGTTTCCCATGATTCCGAGCCACTTCGGACATTTCCGAGATTTTACCGCACGGATTTGGGACCAATCGGATGTTTTCCGAGATATTTCCCACTCTTTGAGAATTTTGACATTTGTCAATTCTGACGGTCATGTCAGTGTTTTGCGAAAATGTACCCAAAAACTAAACACTGATTGACTGACCGACTGACAAATAAAAGTATATTTATATTTGACATATAAAAAACCAAATGCAGAATAATGTCAAAGGAGGATGCAGTTTTGTTTGGATAATGAGAATAATAATTTTTCTAAAAACATTTTATGTACTGATGAAAGTTCGTTCGCTACAAGAGAGGGTTGTAATAGACAAAATACGCGATATTGGTTTTTAATTAATCCTAGACCAATCAATCAATTAATGTATGGTCCGGTGTCAAGATTTGCACCTAAATGTATCAGCGCTGATTATATGGCAGCAAGACGGTGCCCGTACACACAACACACAACAGCACCGACTTAACTTTTTTTTTTTTTTTTGGGGAGACATAAAAAATCACGTGCACAGAACTCCTTGTAATAATGTCATGAAACTTCGGCAAAGGATTTCAGACGTAATCAATCAGTTAAGAGATAATCCGGAAACGTTACTAAATGCAAGACATCATAAAATTAGAGTGTATGAGAAATGTGTTCAGGAAAATGGCGGTCACGTACAGCAGTATTTAAAAAGAAAGAATTTTTTACTTTAGTGTGACTTGTTATTTTTAGTGTTTTTGTTCTACATACATTGTACATCGTAAACCAAGATGGCCGCGTTTCTTTGACATTTGACATGGTTCTAAGCTCCGATGGATTCAAAATTGACATAGGCTAATTTGAGGACAGCAAGTAGGAAAGTTCCTATTTGAAGTGAGACACGTAAACTAATGATTTCCCTGTACGGAAATGATGCTTGCAATCTAAGCGAGACACAATAACATAGTTTTGGTTCTCATTGAGCAGTTTACCCACGAATATTGTTCTTTCTTCCAATTTTTCCCTACTTGCAGGCCAATTCCGAATCTCAACCCTCGTGCTCGACGAAATCGTACACTCCGTTGGATGCTCTGTCCAATATGCAACCGCCATCGGCGCCGCCGGGTATACAGCACCCTCCGCCGCCCCCCGGTCATCATGTGATGCCCCCCATGGTCCCACAGCCGAGTCATCAAATAGGCTCGCCACCGCATAGACATCAGGCACCGCCTCCGGGGTGCGGCACTAGTGCATTCTCATCACCTCATCATGTACCGGCTTCGTATCCGTCACAAGGGCATCAGCCTGGGGGACCAGCATCGGGCGAACCGTCAGGATATGTTCACGGTAAGCGTCGAATTTAGAATTTTTTATTATGGTGGTGTTTTCTTTTTTCTCGAAAACGGTACTTGAAAATTTTCCAATTTGGGTTTCGGGGTATCCAAAAAATGTGTCAAAGTAATGTATCTCATTTATTATTTGTTTTAGAAAAAAATATAAATATAATATATAATATAATAAAATTATTATATAATAAAATATATAAAATACAAAAGTTATGGATGAGATTAAAAGAAACAATTGAAATATGTGAATTTTCATGGAGTACCCTGTATATTATAGTTCCAATAATTACTCCTTTCAATCTTATTAACCTTATATACCTAAACTTCATATTTTTTACATATACACATAAAATATCGTAACAAGCGAAGTAAAATAAAAATAAATATTTAAATTTATAATTTTGTGAAAAAAATGTTTTCTTTCCATTAATTTATTAATTAACTCAATTATTATTGAACTACAAATAATGTTTTCAGAACCCGTCTTTTAGTGCAAATATAAGTTGGCCACTCAAATCTAAGTTTGCCATGCAAATGTAGGTTGGGCATACACATATAATAATAATAAAATAAAATAAAAAAGAGAAGACCGTGTCAGAGCGTGTATCCAAGTCGCTGAGAAACGTTTCTAGCAATAATGAAAGTAATACCTAATTAAACGGATCATTTTTGTTTTTAAGTTTTGTTCTTAGTGTTTTTTCTGAAACTATTAACATTGCATTTTTAATATTATTCCTGGCGTAAAATACTTTTTAAATTGTTTTTCCAAAGTTCATAATACTTAATTCATAAAAATACATAATTCTTAAAAATGTGTATACCTCAAAAAATACTAAATTTAGGGATAGGGATTGCTTAATAAAATTGAAAGAGCATTAACACGAATAATTAATGGAACTACAATATACAGGGTGTAATGTTTAATTTTTCATGAAAATTCACATATTTCACGACAAGTATAGGGTAAATGACTGTACCACTTGATAAAATGGTTGACATAATAAAATTACAGCTGTCGGAAACAGTGTCAAAAATATAGGATACTGAACACAGGGCATTTTTGACAAAAAAATGGCTGCAAATCAGAAAACAGTCAGTATAGACCCTAACAACACTACATTGAGTGATTAAGTATAAAGGATAGTATCCATTAATGCCATATTATAGGGATAGGAAATATAAGTTTGACTTTCCACATATTTAGGAGCCCTGTATTTTTGAAAATAATTTTAAATTGTTTCTTTAAGTCTCTGTGTACAGCTTGTTAAAAAAAAGAGAAAACTTAATATAAACGTTAGTCCGAAAATAGCAATTTCAGATAATCAAAATAAAACGACTTAATGTTTCTCCCAATTTTATTGAAATTTTACCAACGTCATTTATAATGATAAAGGGCTAGTTTTGATGGAAGTGGATTAAAATTTTGAAGTCCAGTGCCGTCCCGGGATGTATCTCAACGAATAGGCAAAAAGATGTACGGCACTGACTTTTTTTGCAGTATTCGTTATTTTGCTTTTTTGACTCTACAGTTGGTTCTATATCTTGTCGTTTTCAAGCGAAAAAATAAAAATAATGAAAATTGACACAGCTTTTTTTTTTTTTTAATTTGCACTAAGAATTATGACCACCATCAGCTTTATTGCAGGCATAACTATCGAAAAGGCTAGTAAATAAGATTTAATATCTTTCAAAGTTACTGTTTAACGACTTATATTTATTGAGCAAATGTTATTTTCATCTACGATACGTATGATTTTTGTCAGATAATTTACGGAACACCCTGTATAATGAATATTTACCGATAAAATTCTCAGTTCCTGCCGTCTTTATAGTATTTAATTTGAACAAAAGAGAGACCTTAATAGTCGTCGTAAAAACTCACGCTCAAATCCTACGGTAGCTAACAGGTACGCTTATCTCTTTTTAAGTAAGATACACGAGAAAATTATCGCCATTGATTTTAACGAAGATCGTTCTAGATTAACTCTAACTTTACAGCGCGAGGCAGATTATTTAGTTTTGCGATTCGAGGCAAAATGAATGTGACATTTCGTAGCTGCGAAATTACCATTTTTGTTCAGAAATAAGCCCGGTAATTTTTATTGCGAGAGGGAGATATGCGCCTACAAGATATTTTCATTAGCCCTAACTAAAATGATATTTTTCATTTCCGTCCTTCCGAACGTGAAAAAAACAAATTTGCTAAATATTACATATTTAAAGAATGTTCACAGCTTTTTCATAATATAATTTATTTAATTGCAATTGGTATTTTTTATATTTATGGAGTGCCGACTAAACTAATTGAAAAACAATGTTTTTTGTTTCTATCATGAAACATTTTTGAATTCATTTTTGGAATATCATATTTGTTGTTTTAAAAAAATTGAAATTGCTACGCAGCGGCATAGCATACCTACATTTTGTATAAATTAACGGAGTATTAGCAGGGAATCGCTGAAATTAAAATATAAGCTTTGTTACAACCGCAGCCAGAAACAGGTTTGGAACTGAATGTTTTTTACCAGGCTGAATAAATTACGGAACACCCTGTATATTTGATATTTACCGATAAAATTCCCAGTACCTACCGGCTTTCAAGTATTTAATTTGAACAAAAGAAAGACCTTCATGGTCGTCGTAAAATTGGTGATCAAGACAAACCTTGGGCACCACATTTTGTTTGGAAGGTATGTAAGCTTCAAATAAAGACGGAACATGTGGAAAATTTCCCGCTCTGTCAGATGCAAAATTAAAGGAAGGAATTTTGGTAGGTGCCCAAATAAGGCGATTAATGGATGATTAAGACATTGCTAATATCGTGAGCGAATCTGAAAAGGTTGCATTGGTTTCATTTACTGATGTTATAAAAGGTTTTTTCTACTCCCGATCTAGCTTGCGGGAAGGGTCGCTTTACCACGTCAGTTTCGTTTCCCACGAATCCGAGCCACTTCGGACATTTCCGGGAGAGGGAGAGGGAGAGGGATAGGGAGAGGGAGAGAGAGATCTACCAAAAATAAATGGACTTAACCATTATTTGAGACTTTGTTATTTAACTTTGATTTTTTAATTTGGTTTTTGTTCTTGTACTAATAAAAATAATGTGTAAATCTAGTGAGATTTTCATTAATCGAAATCGAATCGAAATCAAATGTCAGATCGAAATCAGCTTTCAAAAATTAAAAAATTGTTGTCTTACTTACGAATTATTCGCAAATCCATAAAACGTCTTTTAAAATGATCACTAGGTAACTTCTTTAATTTGATATTTGAATTTGTTATTATTTGTGCCGCAAATTCGCTAAAAAATCACGCAGATTTGCTCCCTAAAATTTGCATTTAAAAAAATGGATTTGGAAAACCTCAGCATTGTTGCCTTTTTCATAATAAATGAATGAAATGTGCAAATATGCCAAATTCAAATAGCAACGAATAATGAAAAGCATTTTTTATAAATTATTGGTATTAGTGTTTTTCTTTTTGGAAACAACTATTCACTCTACTGAAAATATTTTTTTCACGTGTAGCCTTTGGGCCTCTACACCTGAGTTGGTAACATCTTATGTGTTCAAATTTTCTCTACCCCGGTACTCACTATCTCACTCCAAAACCTGGAAATTTGCTAACAAAACTTTTGACAGAAAAAGGAACCTGTGGTAATAACTAATATAAAAGCTCATCAGGCCTTCTCAACTAACAAGAAAAACTATTTTTCCCCAATAAAATCTGACTTAATATACAAAATTGCATTTCAAAAATATTTCCCCTCAAATCCAAAAAAAAAAAACGAACGAACTCTTCCTCTTAAAATGGAGATTTTTTTCCAATTGCACTTTGGAGTTTCCATCCGTACGATCGTAGTGAATCATCGGCTGGCGAATTTCTCAACGTATTAACTAACCCACGCCATTTTCCGGACACGTTCAGTCCTTCGTCCTTTTCGTACGTCGTGGGATTTGTAAAGATGCGTCGGTGCCACATCGCGTGAAATTGCAGAAGTTTCAACAAGATTATTTCAGATGATAAAATTAAATTAAAAACTTGGCATTACTCGATTGGCCATAGTTTCCGTACATTGCAAACGTAATCTGTTGAAACAATCGACGTTCTTGAAAATTAGACTGAAACAAAACTGAAGTTGAGATGTCTGCACACACTGTGCCTCGCCCGTAAAAAAGGCCAGCAATCAAATTTGCCATAAAGCCAATAAATTTTTATTCTATAAAAAAGCAGCAGTGGCGTCCATAATATTGTCCCAAAAATATTTAAGCTTATGATAAAGAACACGTTCTTGTTTTCCTGAAACAAGCAGATAAGAATTTATGCCTAAGTAAATAATCCCATAATCAAACCGATTTTGTTTCTTTATTTTTGCGCCTGTTAACAATATTGTTAAAATCTCAAACGATAGCAATATAGAAACATAAAATCGTATCATCATCATCCTAAGATGAAATCATACGCCAAAAGAACCGCTTTCTGGTCCAAGTTTCAGAGGTCAGATGTAAATAGTTTGAGATACTTTCAAACGGCCACATTTGTCTACTATTAGCGGCGCCACCATCGAACAATAAATTCACGAATAAAGGCCCCCACAGACGTCGTTCTTTTTTTAGCAATTTTACCCGCACGGTTAAAACGGTGCCGATAAGTTGGTCAGTGTGTGGCCAAAAACTGTCCTTTTTGCTGGCGTTCGAAAATATCTGCCACTGCTTCATTTTAACCGTCCGTTTTAAACGCTTTCGTTCAAGTCTGTCAGTGTGTGGTGGGAAAACAGTTAAGAAGGACAGTTTTTATCAGTGTCGACTCACTTATTTTACACAGCAATAATTAGTGTTAGTTTTGAGTAGTGATTTTAAAACTGTATTGTTGAATAAAAATATATTAGAATGACTGACTTAAGAAATTACAACAAGCAATTCATAATTAAGTTCATAGAACTGTATAGAAGCTATCCGTGCCGGTGGAAGGTTAAATCTACGGAGTATTCTGATAGAGATA